TCCTCCTCCGACTCCTGCCTCAGTCTCAGGCGCAGTGGAGGAGTTTGCGCGGAGCGGTGCCGATGTGTGCCTCCTTGTGTGTGTGTGTGTGTGGTTGGTGCGTATGTGTGTGTGTGTGTGTGCTGAAGATGGTGAGCAGCGTTTTCTGGGCTACCACAGCAACCTTGACGAAGAGGGCTCGACCATCTCTCCGAGGAAAGGGCAGCTCGTCTTCCCCCCCCCTCTCCCTCCCTCAGTTCGAGCTTGCAGGGTGGAAAGGGCTTCCTTGCCTCCTGCCAGCTAGCCAGCCGGCTCGCCAACCAGCACGCTCACTAGCCTGCCCCCCCCAGGCTGCTTCCACCGAATGGCCACCAGCCGGCCACCTTTTTCCCCTCCTGGGAGATGAGGGGGAAAAAAATCCTAATAGAAATTATATCTTTAAAATAAGACAACTCCCCCCCCCGGCCCCCGCAAACAGGAGCGGCGCTTAGAAATTGACCAGACGCGCGGTGGCTTTCCAGCATCAAACTCTTCGGCCGCTCGGTGGCTCTGGAGGCGCCGCTGCTCCGACTGCCTCTTTCTTTCCCCCCCCCCCCCCCCCCCCTCGCGTTTTCTCCTTCTACCCCCACTATTTCGAAGCTCAGTTCGGGAGGGGGGGGGAAGGAGAGCGTGGGAAGGGGCGATCGGCGCTGGTTTCGTTTCCCAAGGAAATGCCGGCGGCCGGGAATGATCACGAACGTGAGCAAACCCGAAAGACACGGGAAGAAGCGCATAGAGCAGGTTCTCTCATTCTTCTCTCTCAACTGGCTGACGAGGGGGGTTGGGGGGGGGGCAGGAAAAGAAGGCAAGCCTCCCGATGCAATGCTTTTGCTGAAGGTACCGAGAGCCTGCTGGGATCGCACCAGTGCGGGCGCCAACCGCAGGCACGCGCTCGTACACACCTTTCTCACGAGCGCCTCCGTTCACACAACCATGTGTTGCTCCCGGAGTTGCGGGTTTCCGCCTCCAGACGACGGGCCGGCTGCTGGGATGTCTGCTTTCCCCCCTCCCCCACCCGTGGGGGGAAACTAAAACCCCCTCCGTCTCCACGACCAGCCGCGCAGCCTGCCTAAACGAACTCGGTAAATAAAGTCACGCGTGTCTAACTGGGTCGCCCCCTTCACGCGTGTCTAAATGGGTCGCCCCCTCCCTCGCCGCCCCCTCCCCAAAAAAGGCTGCGGTTGCTCTCGGCGGCTCCTCCGGCTGCCGCCTCCCCCCTTTCCCGGCCGCCTGTTCGCGTCCCTTCCGCGCGACCTTGTGGAAAGCGAGGTCTAAAGTTTACGGGAACATTGGCTTTAATTTGGCAAGTTGTCAACAAGGATGCAAATCGGAAACGCGCGCGCGCGGGGGGGGGGAAGGAAACAGGTCTTTCGCCAAAGCGAGGAAGCGCGAACGGG